TTAAGATTAATAAAACAACGTGATAAGTCAATTGTATTTCGTAAACCGAAGAAATCTTCAAAATCATCTCCAGTATGGGAACATTTTTGTATTATTGTTGTAAATGATATTGAACAAGCATTTGTTTGTTGTGATCACTGCAAAGAGTTGTTAGTTTATCGTCAACGTGATGGTACAACGTCTATGACAAAACATAAACGTTCATGTCATGCTAGTTTAACAAGTTCAAGTAGCTGTTCAGATGGTCAATTAACAGTTATAGAATATTTTACATCGTCCAAAAGTCCTAATGTATCAAAAAACAATTAAAGATAAAATCAAATTGGCTTGTACTGAATTTACGGCATTAGATTGCCGACCTTTTGAATTAGTTACTGGTGAAGGATTTTTAAAAAAGGCACAAAGTATATTTGATGCTGGGCGATGTTTTAGTCATTTATCAAACACCAATGTTAAAGAGTTAATTCCATCTCCAATTACAATAGGGGAACCTATTTCTTGTTATGTGGATCAATTTTTATTTTTTGTTTATGTTTTTTGTGTTAGATTAGCCGCAATATAGATCGTTTATATGAAGAGAAGAAAGTTGATTTATTAAACTTATGTTCCAGTATGAGAAGTTATTGTATTATATGTGATTTTTGGACAGAAAAATTTACTAGTGAGTCGTCGTTTTAAGTCTTCTGTACGACAAAAGAAAAACGAAGAATCTGATTATCATTAATCATTTCGGAAGAAAATTAATGCAAATGCAAGTCTTTTAATTCTATATAGATAAGATTTCAAGATTTTGAGACAAGTATGGTTAGAAATGCAATTCTTTTTTCATTGATTGTTGTTAATGAACATAATCAATCTTTTATTATCTATGGAATTTGTTCCAATATATGGAAATTTGCTTGAAATATTATTTCAAATTAATGTCTTTAAACCTAAAACACTATTTTTGATAATTATGAACACGCATTGTCCTCAGCTCTCAATGAAAATTGATTGAATTTTTCAATATTAGTTTTTAGATAGATCATTGACTTTATCTAAAATTTGTTTAACAATAATTAGCTTGAGAAGAAAAAAAATATACGGTTTTTAAAGTCTTTGTTTCTTATTAATTTTTTAAGGCTTTTTAATTTTTTTTCAAAGCATTAAGTATTTTATTTTGTTTTAATTATTTATTATGGCACTTGTTTAGGCCTTTCTTATTGTGGTTTGGCATTACGTCATGTTACAAAAAATTTTAAATTACTAAACTAT